ACAAACAAGTGCCTGAGGGCAGGGGTCCTCAAACTTTTTAAACAGGGGGCCAGTTCACTGTCCCTCAGACCGTTGGAGGGCCGGACTGTAGTTTAAAAAAAAAAACTACGAACAAATTCCTATGCACACTGCACATATCTTATGTTGAAGCAAAAAAGCAAAACGGGAACAAATACAATATTTGTATTTGCATGTGGCCCGCGGGCCGTAGTTTGAGGACCCCTGGTCTAGAGCTTGAAGTCAGGGGTATTCACACACACACACAAAATGGTTTGACGTTCTCTAAATCACCTTCCTCGTTCCCACCCTGCTCCGGATTGCTAAACCTCCTGTGTGAATAGCCGACTCTTCTACCCACGTCGGGAGGAAAGAAAACCAGGGGTGCCTTAAGAGTGGGGTCTGGGTAACGTGCTTATTCATCCTGGAGACAGAGGCAAGACTTGGGGCCCTTTTCAAAGCTAAAACCGTTAGCCGGGACTTAAAAGCTCCATGCGTGACTCTCCCGATTGTACACACATTCCCGGGATAAGAAAGGACAGTGACCTCGATGGGGAAGATTGCTTTCCTGATGGGAACCCAACCCCCACCCACTCAGGCCAGAGCCTTCAGCCCGTCATTTCAATAAGCCCAGTTCCTACCCTAGGAGAGAGGACATGAGAGCGGACCCCAGAGAGACAATGGAGCAGCCACAAATGGACACGTGGGAAATGGGGCTGGAGTCACATTCAGATCACATCCCAAGCCTGTCCCTCGCCAGGGGTCTGATGTAGGGAGCGACTCCACCTCTTGGAGCCCCTGTTGGCTCATCTGACGCTCAGGGAGGACAGTCCCCACCCCAAGAGCTGGAGGGACGATTCCCTAAGGTCGTTCGTGTCATGGGCACAAAGCAGATGTTCAATAAGGTGCCCGTTTCCTTCTGCTGGACCACAGGTCCCAGCAGACCAAGGCACTGCCCTCTATGGAACCTTGAGTGGGTCCTTCACCATCATGGAGCCTCATTTATAGAGGAGGGGCCATGAGCCAGCCCTGCCAAGGGCCCTCTGAGGAGTGAGGAGGGCATGGCTTTCCATGCCAGGAAAGTGTACCTCTGTGTTTGAAGACCCGAAGCAAAACTGTTCTCTTTCTAGCCGAATCTGGGGGCGTACTGGCCGGAAGCCAGTCAATTCAGCAACAATGTTGGCATCCTGGAAAGAAAAGTGTTAGGAATTCAGCTCCGGGGTTATTTTTTTCTGCTGCCATTTTTAGGGGATAGAGAGTTCACTTTTGGAACTTCAGTATCATTACCACCACCTCGAACACCGTCACTGTCTGTTTTATTCATCCCCACTGCCGTCATCGCCACCGTTGTCAGCCACCAACATCACTACTGTCACTCATCACCACCACTTCTATCAGCTTCTCCATCTTTATCAACCACCATGATATTGTCAACAGTCACCACCTCATCACCATCCTTATTACCATCCTCAGCATTTTCATCACCATCCATACCAACCACTACCTCCACCTGCTCATCACACCATCAGTGTTGTCATCACCACTAAAAGGCACATGAGAAAACTGAAATTTCTGCAACACATATGTTTTGAAGATGTCACCTTAACAGAGAGTAAGTCTCAGTCAGGGTCATATATGTTTCATCAGCCCATAGGAGGACTTCCCTGGGCATTATCAAATTCGGGTGTATTCCACGGGCCCTTGCTGGAATTAATTCGCCCAGTTATCCCCTGGTGGAATCTTCCCCTCCTCACATGTCCTCACGATCAAGCTGCCCGGAGCCTGGTCTAGGGACCGGATACCTCTCCCCCTTACCTTCAGGGTGGGCTCCAGTCTGCAGCAGCCTTCCCAGATGGTGTTGTGGTCTTCACTATTGTTCACCTCACTCCAGTTCCCCAGCTGGAAGATGCCTCCAAGAGTCACTGCCTGGATCCTACATAAAAGTAAGGAGGGTCAAGGATGAAGGGAAACAAAGCCTTTGAGATGAGTGGGGGTCATCACCATGCTGACCCTTACCACCATCCCTACCTAACTCACTGCTACCACCAACATCCCTGCTCCCAATACCACCAACACCACGGCCATTGCCATTGTCATATCCATCAACAACACCATCTGCACAACTTTCTTCCTTGTTACCATTGAGATGTCATCACCACCATCCCCAGTCACCATTTCCACCACCGTCATTAGCCATGGATATTGTCATTTCCTGCTCACCATCGACATCGCCATTGAGACAGTCAGCACAGCCACAGAGCTAACATGGCCTCTGAGGCTGTCATCTCTGCCACTCTGTTACCGTTATCATTGCTACTGTCATCTCCATGAGCACTGGCCACTTCCCCCCATCCCTGTCACCACCAGCATTGACACTGATCTCCTCATCAATGGCAAGGCTACTTTTACTGCCACTATTTCACTATCAACATGGTGGTCATCGCATCAATACCACCACCATATTCATTAACACCGTCACCTCTGTCATTAACATCACCATCAGCTCCAACCACCATTCCCACCACCTTCCTGCTGTTGCCATTCACACCACATCCAGTGTCATTGCCATCACGTCTTTATCTCCAGCATCACCTTTGTCTCTAGCATCGCTCTCATCCGAAAGCATGTTCAAGCCTGGCCGGCAGGGCGTGGCTCGGTGGTTGGTGTTTCTATCTCTGTTGCCCTCTCCCAAGCATTTAATGACCCAACCACACTAAAAAAATAAACATTTGAAGAAAAAAGCTGAAGGGACTAAGCAAGGGGCCTGGGGCAGGCAGCAGGAGCTTGAGGGCATAAAGATGGCCCCTTGCTGCCTACGATGCCAGCTTTTTACCCTGGGATGATGTACGGGGACTTGTAGATGCCTCTGTCTAGGTCATGGGTGATGATGAAGTGCTTCATCCAAGGGGCATCCACCTGTTGATAGAGGATGGAGACGTCTCCTGAGGGGAGATGGATCAGCGCGCCCCCTGCCCTGCCCCCCTCCAAGACCACATGCTCTGATAAGAGTGGACAGTTCCCAGGACCCCCTGCCACTGTCTGCACCTGGCTGTCTGCACTTGATGGAAGAGCACCCTGACTGAGAGCCAACCTGCCCCCCTGAAGCATCGCATGTTTTCACCCACGTACCCACAGAAAAGCCCAGCACGCATGTGCAAACACACACACACACACACACACACACACGACCACCTCAGGAACACACACGCCATCCCCACACACCTACACACCTATGAATGCACACGTGTACATTCACAAATAGGCATGCCTCACACACATGTACACGTACACAGTGAGAGGTGGTGTGGACTGATGCTTATACCCAGGCTCTTACTCCAGGCTGCCTGGGTTCTAATCCCGGTTCCACCGCTTACTACTGCATGAACTTGTGCATGTTCCTTAATTCCTCTGCCTCAGTTTTCCCATCTGTGAGATGGCGATGGTGATATGATAGACCCCATCTCAAAGGGTTGTGGTGAGGATTCAGCAATGGACACAACAAAGTCCTCTTTTCGTTATAATAATAGGCATGCTCGCACACATATGCAGCTCCCATATATGCACAAGCATGTACTAGTATATAGACACGCGTGCTGTGCTATAAATCTCGAAAGAGAACATTTGGGAGGGTCGTGTTGCGTTGGTCTCTCTTGCTTCTTCGACATGCAATTCCTCTGGCAGATGTCCCTGACCCATCCTCTGTCCTTGGAGATGAAATCAGCAGGCAGCTACCATCTTCCTCGCAACAAAAACCAGGGGTCTCATCCCTCACCTCCACACTCACCTTAATGATCTGCCCCCGGCCTGGCTGCAGCAGCGGGTCCGGCTGCAGCGCCCCGGCCCACACGCCGGTGCAGTTGATAATCACATCAGCGCCTCCTCTTGCCACCTGGCAGCAACCAACAGGGCAGGTAGGGCGGAAGGGGGTAAGGATCCTGGTACTCCTGCCCCCTCTCCTACCCTCCTTTCACCTCAAAGCTCTCAGCTCCCTGTGGCACAGCAGGGAGGAGGCTCAAGGAGGAATTCCTGGGCCTGCCCCTAATGTCTGCTCTGCCCTTGACCTGCCGTGTGGCCTCAGAAATGTTCTGTCACCTCCTCTAGGCTCAGCTGCCTTAGCAATAAAATGGGGCTGGTAATGCGCATTCGCAAGCCACTGTGAGGATCCAGTGTGGCTCTGGGTGTAAAAGTGCTTAGAAAGGAGTACCCTGGAAAAGGGGGGACCTTTCTGGAATCTTCCAGAAGTCAGAAAGCAAGCGGAGCTGGTTCTCTTCCTCTTTCTGACTCCCTTTCCTTTTGTTCTCTTGCCTTCTCCTCTGCCGAGACATCTGCAGAAGGCACGTTGGCACCCCTAGTGCTGGGCCTGGGTGGGATACTTGGTAGGTCCAGGATGTAGCCTGATGGGCACCCAGACTCCCAGCCCCGCCCCCGTGAGGCCCCTCAGAGGTCAGTCCTGGGGCATGCACATCGCAGGGCACTGTTACTGTTCATGAGCTAGCGTTTGCTACACTGGACTGTCATCTCTTTGGGAATGAGGGCTGCGTCTGAGTCAGCTATATTCCCAAGGGCCCGTCAGGGCTGGGCGCAGAGCGATGCTTACTATAGAATGCTAGTAGCTGCGGGGACTGAGCGTTTTCCATGAGCCAAGCACTACCCTAGCTGCCGGGATTGAGTGGAGTCCTAGAACAAAGCTCCTGGGGCAAGGCCATCGCCTGATGGTAGCTGCTCCTGTCATGATGACTGGCGGTGGTGTTACTCTGGCGGTGCGTCAGCGGGGGCCCGTGACTTTGCAGAAGCATGAACCCAGAGGTCGGTAGGAGGCAATCCAAGTGTCTGGAACTTGGGAGTGGGGAGCAGCTGATACTGGGCTTTCATATAGATCAGCCCTTCATGGCCGCCATGGTGCCCCGGTCCCTTCACTTCTGCCACCAGTATCAAGGCAAAATGCCCAAGTCCTTCTGGGATTGACAAACGTTTGGAGTCTGGGATGGGCCTCAAAGGGATCCTGGAAGACTGAGGAGGAGGCCCTCAACTCAGCAACAGGAAGCAAAGGCCCACCCCCCTCTCCTCCCTCCCACGCCCAGCCCCTGCCAGCCCTGCAGCTCACCTCCTCGAAAGACTCCACCTTCTGCTGGAAGAACCTCACTCCCCGCTCGGTTAACCTGGGATGATCAGACACATGGAAAAGCTCATTGCTCAACCCTCTCTCCCACCTCTCCACAAGGACAGCATGGGGATACCTCCCAAAGACCCTCTGTCCCATGGGGTGCTCCTTGAGAAAACGGCTGTACAGCCAAACCGGTTCATGAGCACCTCTGTGCCTCAGGGGGCCATGAAATGTCCCTTGGGAAACCTGAGACGGTCCAAGCTCCCCATCGGGCAGATGGAGATGGGAGAAGGGCCTTGCTGAAGGTCAGACTGTGAGTCAGTGACGGGGCTGGGGCTCACACTCAATGCAGGAGGGAGGGGGGTCAGGGTTGGACCAATGCTACCCCTTTGTCGGAAGCAGAGCATGAGGAGGAAGGGGGGCTAGGGACACTCACCCCTCCCTCTAAGTGTCCCAGCTGAAAAATATTGTCACTATTAGAAATATAGTAGAAACATCAAAAGAACAAAAAACAACAACAAAACTATATAAAGGCTGAAGCGTAACCTCAGGACTATTTTATCTACTTGGTTTCCTCAAGGTAGAAAAACTCGGAGCATTTGTTCCAGGAAGAGCCTAGACGGGAGTCGTTAAGTGTCCCAAGGTTAGAAGAAATAACCGGGTTTTAGCGCAATAGTTCGTAAACCTGGCTGATCGTTAGAACCGTCCAGGGAATTTCCTAAGATACAAATTTCTGAGCCCCACCCCAGAGGTTTTGATTCAGTAGATATGAAGCAGGGTCCTGAAAGCTACGTTAAAAAAAACTTCTCAGGTCACTTGATAAAAGCCACCATCTATTCTATATTTTTAAAAATCATAATGAAATAGTAATATGTAGGACATATATGGAATCTTTCTTAATGTAAAGGCATGTGAATATAAATACAAATGTATTCTCAAGCTAATGTAGAACACTTCAAGATTCCTATCAACATCAAGAACAAGACAGGGACATCTACTATCACCTGTATTATTTAACATTGTTCTGGAGGTACTGGCCATAGCAGTTAGACAAGAAAAAGAAAAGAAAAGGTGAGGTATAAAAATAAAAGGCAACGTATGTTTTGTAGATAATGTAAATAGATAGACCTGGAAAACTTAAGAGAATCCATTTAAAGCTACTACACAAATGTTATGGATTTTAGTGAGGTCGATAATAGACATCACATGTAAAGAGTTGCCCACGTGGTTCTGTTGCCCAGCCAGACGTGGGAACCACTGCACAGTGGTTAACTCCCACCACACCTAAAGGTTAACGTTTGGGGTTGGTCGATACAAAGACGAATACCATGAACAACCATCTACTACAACCCTGGTCCCTGAGAGGGCTTTCCTGAAGCTAAAGTTGAACATCTCACCTTTCAGTCAGCCACTGCAGATATCTCCTCCCCTCCAGAGTCAGGCTTGTGTTGAACCAGCCATAGCTAGAGGCACAGCAGGCAAAGGGTGGGAACAAAGGATCAGAATCAGAAGGCTATCCAATGGAGATGGGAGCATGTTGTGTTTGTTTGGAGGGGCGGTGGGAGGGAGGTGGTGGTGGTGTAGGCCCAAGGGTCGAGACAGGACCACCGTTGGGCGAAGTTCAAGTGGAAGTGGTTTTTAGCTCAATGCAAGGAAATTTGTTCTGTCAGACAAAGCCATCCCTGACATGGGGATGTGCAAGTGGAGACGGGATGTGCATTTGGAGAGGGGATTCAAGCATTGGGTGGGTGAGGAGAGGACCGGAAAGACACTGGGCTGTGGGGAAAAGAACAGAGGGGTTTGGCGTCACACAGACTGCATTGGAATCCCATTTTGGTCACTTGGCGGTGTGACCTTCGGAAGTCACATAGCCTCTTTAAAGGGGTACGGAGCTTCTGGCCTTGAGATCTGTGGTTCCATAACCCCCACTTCCTTAGCCCAAGGCCCAGTTTGGGTGGGTTTCTTCTCTGAAGGACCTGAACAGAGCACCGGGAGACCAAGGTAGGAGGGGCTCTAGGTGTAGGATGGGACCGAACTTTGGTGACTCCGTCTTCTGCTGCCTTCTGGACGGGTCTGTCTGAATTGTGGGGCCTCATTCCCTTTGCCCATGACAGTAACCTTACCTGTAATCGGGGAACATGTCCAGCTCCCTGGGGGTCAGCTTCCGAAATCCCAGAACTATGTCCTTCCAGGAAGGGTCCTGCAGAAGAAGGAGAGGAGGGGACACAGGGATGAGTGCAAGTCAAGAGTAACTATAACAAAAATTTTTATATAATGTTCATTGTGTGTAAGGCTCTGTTCCAAGCATTTTACTTATACCACTCCATTTAATCTTCACAACAACCCATTGAGGTAGATCCTATTATTATCCCCATTTAATAGATGGGCCCATTGAGGTTTAGAGAGTTTAAGTGACTTGTCTAAGATCACACAATTAATAAATGGTGGAGCTGAGATCTGAACCCACACAGTTTGGCTTCAGAGTCCAAATTCTTAACCATTATGCTATACTAAGGGTAAGAGGAAGACTTGGGGTGAGTGATAGGGTAAGTGTTGGGAATATGGGAGAGAAAAGGGGAAGCAGTGAAAGTCCCCAAGGAGTGAGAGCGGGGTCAGACAACATAAATGGAAATTTCAGTCTCACCCCTGAACACCTTGAATTCTCCGAGACTCAGTTTTCTGGTCTGTATCATGGAGTTAATAGTCACCCTTGGTCCCATGGAAGGTAATGGATAACGTGGGTAATGCTCTTAGCACAGGGTTAAATGTTGACTAAACCTTAGAGAGTTGGCTTGGGGTTGTGGGCACCCAGCCCAATCACCCTCTCCAAGCAACCTGAGAACATCCCCCATGTGGTCACAGACTGTCTGGGTTCAAATCCCAGCTCTGCCACTTTAAAGATTTGTGAGCTTAAGTAAAGTAGGCCATTTCATCCGCAAAAGGAAGATAATAATAACACTCAATTATTGTGAGAGTTAATTGAGTCACTATTTGTAAAGTAGTTAGGACAGGGCCTGGCACACAGTAGGGGCTTTAGAAGTGTGCACCATGATGAGTGTCTTAGTTCGTCTTGATGAAAAGCCCGGGGACCACCTGCAGGGTCACAGGATGTATTTTGGCCTCAGCACCAAGTGCCTACCACTACAGAACGTGACTCTGGTCTGTGACCAAGGCTCTGCCCCATGGTCAAGAGCTCCTCACTCACCGGAACAGCTTCATGGAAGAGGTTGTAGCCCGAGATCGGGGCCAGGCCCATGTTTGCAGCATTGGGGGAATGGATGTGGCTCAGGAGGTAGTCGAAGGTCTGCTGGTTCCAATGCCTAGAAGGGTCCACCAGAGTCTCATCACGTCATACCCTGAGCTGGATAAGACCGCTCTGAGGGTCAGCTTGCCCAGGACAGTGGTCAGGCTGGTGGGGAGGTGTCCAAATCCAGAAATCCATCATGGCCCACTCCTGCAGCCCCCCATGTGTCTAGGGGTCTTCCTCTTCCCCAAGCTTTCCAATATGTCCCCATCAATAGAAAAGAGAAGAGGGAAATAGAACATGCTCCCTCACAACCACTCGGAACCTACCTCCAACTTAGGATCACGGAGTTGCCAAGTTTAAATGAAGGCTGTGCCCTGCTCCGGAGACTGTGAGCCACAGGTCCAAGCTCTCCCTGGGCTCCACCCCACTGTAAACACCAGCTGGCACTCCTAAATGCTTCCTCTTCTCCCTGGGCTCACAGCTCAACTACATTTCCCAGACTCCTTTGCAGCTAGGCATGACCATGTGACTGTCTTCTAGCCAAAAGACCCCAGAAACTGTGCACACGTCGTCCTCAGGCTATGCTCCTTGTGCAGGTGCTGGCCCATGTGAAGGGCAACGTTGGAAGCCACGGAGGGGAATGACAGAGCCACGAGCTGGAAAGGAGCCCGATCCCTGAACTGTCACCCACTGATCAGGAACATTGGTTTGGAATTTGTGGGGGAAAATAAAACGTCTGTTTGAGCTGATATTCATCTGAGGTGTCCTTTGTGGAATCAGCTGGGGGTTTCAAAATTAACATCATGACCTTTGCAACTTCTTTGCTAAACCTGAGCATTGATCGACTCACTTAGAGGTCTTCCTGATTTGCCGACTCATCTGGCACCGACTGCCTCCTGGTTTAGGGGCGGGATGGAGACAAAGCCTCCATCGGTCTGGCACATGTCCCCTCTATCACTGCTGAGACCAAGTGCAGCATCTGTCTAGCACCTGGAAGGGGCTTCATGTTTATTATTTTCTTCACATCGTGCCAGGCCATAGCCTCCACAATGGTCTTGTCATTGGTGACAGGGACCCTGAGAGGGGGCAGCCCCCTCCGAAGACTCAGCTCCTCTGACTGCCCGGCCACCCTCTGGGACCCTCACTCACGCCTCCTGCTGGTTGCCGGGGTCGGAGAGGTAGGGCTGCCACAGGCCAGCAGCCACGTCGGTGTTGGTGAGCGGGGTGAAGCGGTCTGCGTAGATCTTCAAGTCCAGCTGCTGCAGGACCGAGTGGTAGCGCTCGTGGATGCAGAGGGCGGTGGACAGCCCAATGACGCCCGCTCCGATCACCACCACGCGCATTGTGCCAGCCTGCAGGACCATCTCCATCACCATCACCACCATCACCACCATCACCACCCCCCACTGAAGGCTTAGAGCAGTGGTTCTCAACCTTCCGGCCCTTTAAATACAGTTCCTCATGTTGTGACCCAACCATAAAATTATTTTCGTGGCTACTTCACAACTGTCATGTTGCTACTGTGATGAATCGTCATGTAACTATCTGATATGCAGGATGGTCTTAGGCGACCCCTGTGAAAGGGTCGTTTGACCACCAAAGGGGTCGCGACCCACAGGTTGAGAACCGCTGGCTTAGAGGGTGGCGGATACCGCCAGACCCTTTTAACACTCAGTCCTCGCCATGACCCTGGCAAAGGGAGAAACAGACATGGAGAGGCAAAGCCCAAGGTCACACAGCGGGTAAGTGATACCACTTCCTATGGGAAGCCTCCCCGAACGCACTGTATCCATCTGGGAACATTAAAAGGGCCTAACCCCGACGGGTGTGGCTCAGTGGCTGAGCATCAACCCATGAAACAGGAGGGCAAGATTTGATACCCAGTCTGGGCACATGCCCAGGTTGCGGGCTCGACCCCCAGTGTGGGGCGTGCAGGAGGCAGCCGATCAATGATTTTCATCATTGATGTTTCTATCCGTCTCTCCCTCTCCCTTCCTCTCTCTGAAATCAATAAAAACATATTTCGAAGGGCGTAGGCAGAGTTCCTAGCCAGCTCTAAGCTGGGGAGTCAAATGGTTAGAACTATGGGCTCCAGCTTCAAATCTCAAATCTCAGTTCTGCTGCCTACTGGCCATTGACCTTGGGCAAGACGCTTCCCAAGTCTCAATTTGGGAAGCGTCTTCTTCTGGAAAATGGGGAAATGAACTCATGCCTCGGAGAGTCGATGGAAGATTCACCAAGATGGCACATGTGTAACGTTTAACCCAGTGTCTAGTACAAAAGAAGCGACTTACTGACATTCGCGGAGCACCTACTGTGTGCCGGCCTCAGCGCTAAATGCTTCCCATGCCTCATTTCATGTAAGTCTCCCAATATTCTTATGAACTAGGAACTAGTGTTATTGGCTCCACTTTCCACATGAGGAAACTGAGGCTCCGAGAGATTAAAGCCACTTCCCCGAGGTCACAGAGCCAGGAAGGGGTGCTGCTGGGATTTCATTTCAAGTAAACTCACACGCACTTTTTGCACACCTACTGTGTGCGTTGCCGGGCTGGCAGCTAGTGGATGCAGCTGTAAGCATATCAGCTGCATCAGCTGCATCAGCTGCAAAGGCTGGCCTCAGAACTCAGGTCCTCCAGCGCACCCCCCCACGGCCGGCCTTGGGGTGCTGGGCTGCCTGGGTCCTCAGAATTTTAGAAGGCCTAGCAGCTTTTGACCTTGAAGCTGGTTGGGCCTGCACAGCAGGGAAATATTCTACTGGCTCCTGCTGAGGCAGAACAAGGGGACGTTTGTGCCCGAGAGGGCCAAATTCAACTTTCCCTCCTCTTTACTCACAACTCTCCTCCCACAGACCTTGGCTCCCCGCCTGTGGCCCTGAGCAGCAGGACATTCTCAGTATGGCCTAGTTTTGTAAAGGAGGAAACGGCTCCAGGCCACAAAAACCGTACTCTGTTAGGCTTTCAGCAGCCAAGTTGAAGATAAAAAAACGCCAAAACAAAAGCGTCGCACCGTTGCTCTGGGCAATGCTTCTTCCAGCTGCCAACCTGGGCTTGGTTGGGGGAGGTGGGGCGGGGGACAGTAGGCAGACCCTCTCAGGGACCCCCACCCTCCTCTTGCAATTTCCTCATCGATAAAATAGGAGGAACCTGGTCTCACGGGCTTGTCCTAAGGATTAAATGAGCAGCCTGGCCACAGTTCCTGGTACAGTGCCTGGCACGAGCAGGCCCTCAATACATGACAGCCTCCTTCTGTCTGTCCCCCAGCACTTTGGAAATGACAAAGGAAAGAACATTGGGTGTGGAGGAGGGGAGAGGAAGAAGGGAGAGTCAGACCTGGCTTCACTTCCGCCTTGCTGTGTGACGTTGGCTAAGTGACTTCCCCTCTCTGGGCCTTCTGACTGTCTTTGCATAACCTCCATAGAGTTGAGCACTTTCGCACATCAACAATAAGAAGGCAGGCCTAGAGGGCTTTTCTGTATTGTCCAAATTCCCCACAATGAATCCCTGAGGCGGCACGGCATGGGGAAGCGGCAGTCACAGCCCAGGCCGTGGGTCAGACACACCCAGGTTCACAGCTGGCTCCGGCGTGGACGAACGGTGTGACCCCAGACAAGTCATGTAACCTGACCGAGCAAAGGTGGCCGACCTCCCGATGTCCCAGGACTGAGGGTGTCCCCAGGACGTGGGGGCCGAGTGCTAACACCAGGAGAGTCCTGTGGCAAATCGGGATGAGTGGTTGCTCATGGTAACAGCCTCCGCTTTCTCTTCCATAAACTTTTGAGGGTTCACAAAGCTTCCTGCCGGTTGTCTCCCCACCAGAATATCAGCTCCAGGAGAGCAGGGACTTTTGTCCACTGCTCTGTCCCCATGGCCTCGAACAGTACCTGGCCCGTAGCAAGGACTCATGAATGAATGAATAGATGAATGAATGGAGTTCTTAGAGGATCAAAAGAGAAAATACAGTGGGGCCTTGACTTACGAGTGTCCCGACTAACGAGTTTTCCGAGATACGAGGGGGCTCTCGGCCGATTTTTTGCTTTGAGTTGCGAGCTAAAATTCGGGTCACGAGCCAGCTTCAGATACCCCACCGCTAGTTGGCGCAGCGAACGTCGCAGTGAACGCCACAACATCAGCCCAGCATCACGTGTCTCACTCATTCACTTTTTGATTTGACATACGAGTAATTTGAGTTACGAGCTCCGTCACGGAACAAATTAAATTCGTAAGTGAAGGCCCCACTGTACTAGTAAAGTGCAGGGCAGCTCATAGATTAAACCGGTGATTATTGTTGTCCCTGGTTCGCAGCTGAGGCAGCTGAGGCTGGGAGAGAGCAAGGCTATTAGAAGTCACAGCAAGAGTTGGAGGAAGGCGGGGGTGTGGGGGGGAGGAGCCCAGTTCTGCTTTTTCTAGGGCCCAAGTTTTCTCATTCTCATGTCACATAGAAAACCAGTGAGTAACTGAGGGGGGAAAGGAGCTGCTTATATAATAGAATTGTGTGAGATGAGGGAAGAGAGTGTCTGAAAACCTTAAGAGGTTTCTGGGCAGGGGAAAAAGGCTTCAAACAGAAGCAGAGCGGGCACATGGCACGTCTCAGATAACAAGCAAAGCCTCCGGGTAGATGTGGTGTCCAGGTAGATGTGGTGTCCAAGGGGGGGTTCGGGGGGGAGTCCCAGAGTAACTTCCGGTACCAGCTGGCTGGATAAAGGGACAAGTCACAGCGCGGGGCTCAGTTTCTGCAGTATGTAAAATTCTAAAGGTGAGCAAGACGTCCTCATGCAGATGGGGAAACTGAGGGTCAAAGATTTGTGGGCCTTAGCCAGTGTGACTCGGTTGGAGCGTCATCCCATGTAGGGGTCGCAGGTTTGATTCCCGGTCAGGACACATGCCCAGGTTAAAGGTTCAACCCCCAGTCGGGGCACATAGGACAGGCAACTGATGGATGTTTCTCTCTCACATCGACGTTGCTCTCCCCCTCTCCCTCTCCCAAAAACCAATAAAAACATATGCTCGGGTGAGTATTTAAAAAAAAAAAAAGATTTGTAGGGTCTTGAGGTTAAAAAGACCCTGTGAAAGGCGGGAATAGGTCACATCCAGAAAAGAACTACAATGTGGAGAGAAACAGCAATGACAGCCGCTGCTGGTTTTTCAACTCCTAGGATTATGCTGAGAACTTTACACGCACGATCTTCTTTAACCTTCCACCAACCCTTGGGATGATCATTCTGCCCATTTTACAGAGGAGGCAACTGCGCCTCAGCCCCTGGTAAGAAGCAGGGCCCAGGCCAGCCTGACTCACAAGTGAAAAATCTGAAGGTCAAACAGGTGAAGAGATACCCCAATGTTTCAAAGTCCTACACTGGGGGGCGGGCAGGAAACCCCACATAAAATACAACAATTGCAGGAATGTTCAGTGTGTTGGTGATAGGCACAGAAGTGAAGAGGGACTATGTATGTCCTAAATCAATGATCTTAATAAAGTAGGTTAATCAGATTGGACACTGATTACCATAACTTTGTGTGTGTGTCTAATTATAATATCTATTTAAGGATGGAGCAGAAAGGGAACCATTTTGGTCATCTGCCACTTGCCAGACACATGTAGATGCAGTATAGACATCCTCTCACTTAATCCTCTCACCTGCTCCAGAAGGTTCTACAGAAGTGAGGTGCAGGGAGCGAAAGCCACGCTCCCACAGTCACCCAGCCAGTGTGGGCCAGTGTTCAGACCTGCGCTCTCTGCACCATGCAGCCGGCAATACATGGACACTGACCCTTTCTGCTTGTCCTGTGTTTCTTTGCTAATCGGCTCCCTTTTCCCTAGAAAGTGGCTGGAGGCAGCTCCTGCCTTGGATGGCCACATGTGCGCAGCCAAACTAGGAAAGATCGTCCTGAAAAAAAATCAGCAAGTCCCGGGAAAGGTATTTGAATGAACATTATTAGCGCCTCCAACTTGCGCCCTAGGGCTACTTCTAATGATGTTGATGTTTTCAGAGTTTATATTTAAAATGGAACAGATTTTATAAATGCTTGACAGCCAGGATACCAGCTCCCCGCCCCCCAAATAATAATGGCCATGTATTGAGGACTTGGTGCGTGGCCAGTTCTATGCTAAGCACCTTACATTAATCACCTGTTTTAACCCTCAAATCAACCCTATAAGAGGTGCGTTAGGATCCCATCTCCCAGACGAGGAAACAGAGGCTTAGAAAGGCGAAGGCGCTTACCCGAGGTCCCGGCCCGACTACAAGGCTGCCACCTGCCTCAGGCTCTGAAGTGGAGCCTTCTCCGCTGACACTGGGAAAACACGAGTTCTACTGCCGCCCCCTAACCCCCAAAATAAGAACACCCCCACTCACCGGGTGTGCCAAACTTCTGGAGAAACGAGGCAGCTGCTGTGGATACAGGGTCCTGTCTCCTAAGGAGAGGCTCCTGATTCTGGGGTGTCCTGTCCTCAGTCCTCTGCCCGCCAGCCGGGACTGGAGCTCAGGGTCAAAGTCCGGAGTTATAGACAGGGCGCAGCTTGGCGCGGTGCTGCTGGCAGGGGCTGGACCCCCCGCCCCCTCCCCTCACTCCCAGTCCCTGAAAAGCTGCCTGACTTTTCTGGCTGATCCCAAGGCCCTGTGTCCAGGCCTCGGTGGAAGGGAGGGGGCAGGCGGGGGTTCTTGGAGGGCTGATGGGCACAAGCAGGCCTGACTCCCAGGCCAGCTGGAGGCAATCCTCTTTCTTCTCTCTTTCTGCTGCCACCCCGGGGGGGAGGGAGGGTCGTTTCCTGGCCTGCAGGGGGTGGGAGGGGTGGTCATCTTGGCAGCACCGGAAGGGAGGCCAGAGGTACTGGACAGGGCTCCCCGGGCCAGCCGGCCAGCCCAGTGCCATTCTGGGACGCTAGGTGGATGAGGCCAAGAAGAGACCACGAGGCTATGCGGCTCTTTGCTCGGGTATCCCAGGGACACTAGCAGCAGGGCTCCCGGTCCCTCCTCTGCAGGGCTAGGCCTGGAGCGGTGGTTCTTAAAGCCCAGAGGTCATCAGGCACCTCGCTGTATGGGGAGACTGAGGCCCAGAGAGAAGAACCAACCAGCCCTTGGGGAGGCATCGTTTGGGTCGGTTTTGAAGGACCAGCCTCTACTTGGCCCCTACCCTCAGCATCATCAAATAAAAAGGTGAAGGTGAGCATCGGCCCTCGGACTGAAGGGTTCCGGCTTGGATTCCAGTCAAGGGCACACACCTTGGTTGCAGGTTCCCCGGCCCTGGTGGGAACGAGTGTGGGAGGCAACCAATTGATGTGTCTCTCTCACATCCATGTTTCTCTCTCTCTCTTCCTCTCTCTCCCCTCCCTTCCACTTTCTCTAAAAATCAATGGAAAAACAAAACAAAACAAGGCACCCTGGATTTTATCTGGTGACCCCTCACACAGGCCGTCTGTACCCAGTGCTGGAGCACCAGGCCACCACAAGAGAGCTTAACTGAGCGGGAACAGTGAAGGGTCGCAGGGACCACACAGGGACTTCCCACACGGCAGGGCTGGGTGTGGGCTGTGGTTTCAGAGAGTCCTGTGCTGTATGTGAAAAGCATATTCGGTATTGTTAATTAATTTTGGAAAATGAGGTGCAGGGACACCCATTGTTTTCATGATACAGAAAGTAAAAGTCCACAGTATATTCTTGGCTATTGGATTAAGACGTCCCCAAGGAGGGGGTGTGCAATTTTTAAAATCTTTTATCAGAAGAGGGCGTGAGAAAAAAAGAAAAGAAAAGAAAAAGAAAAAGCTGAGAAACACTGAATGGTTGAATGTGCCCATTTTACAGCTGAGTAAACTGAGGCCCCAAAGAGAGGAAGGGATGTGCCTTAAGTCCCACAGGGTATATTGCTCACCCGGTGGGTTGATTGCAAGGTCCTTGAGAAACTATCCTGAAGTCCGAAGTTCACTGATCATGCTAGCAGGCCCCAAAGAACCTTGGGAAGCATTTTTTTGTTTGTTTGGCTGGAATGTTAGGGATCAAGGATTTCTCTGGCCTACTGGCTAATTGATAAACAGCGTGGCCTCCTAGCAGCTCTGAGACAGCACACTCAGGCCAGGGCAAAAGATCCATTTACTAGGAGGCAGAACTCTGTGGGGGCCACGAGAAGTTATAGAATAACAAGTTAATCCCCACTCACATGAAGTTCACTGATCATGCTAGCAGGCCCCAAGGAACCTTGGGAAGCATTTTTTGTTTGTTTGTTTGGCTGGAATGTTAGGGATCAAGGATTTCTCTGGCCTACTGGTTGATTGATAAACAACCTGGCCTCCTAGCAGCTCTGAAACAGCACACTCAGGCCAGGGCAAAGGATCCATTTACTAGGAGGCAGAACTCTGTGGGGACCTCGAGAAGTTATAGAATAACAAGTTAATCCCCACTCTCTCAGACAAAATTAGCTTTATTATATCTTTTCTGAGTATTAAGATCATCATAACCTCTATAATTTATTACAAAACAGGAGCTATAAAGCAGACAGTACTAACCCCCTGTAACCAATCCCACCACCAGGAAAGAGGGGCCATTCACATTTGGGGCAAATATCCCCAAACATTATATAAACATACCACTTCATGTGCCCCAAATGGGATCACGTTGTGGGTGCCGTTTCGACTCCCAGTTCACGTATCAGTATGGTCTGTCCTGAACATGTTTCCACTCGGCCATTAACCAGTGGTCCGTTCATACAGGACCACTGAATGTGGGTATCACAGTTTTTAAAGGCAGACCCTATGGCAGTGGTTCTCAACCTTCCGGCCCTTTAAATACAGTTCCTCATGTTGTGACCCAACCATAAAATTATTTTCGTGGCTACTTCATCACTGTCATGTTGCTGCTGTTCTGAATCGTCATGTAAATATCTGATCTGCAGGGATGGTCTTAGGCGACCCCTGTGAAAGGGTCGTTCGACCGCCAAAGGGGTCGCGACCCACAGGTCGAGAACCACTTTTCTAGGCTGTTCCTTGGCTAATGACAGCAAAACTCCAATTTCCACACGGCGATTTCTCGAACATTGATTTTTTTAGACAGAGTAGCAGGGTGGGGGAGAGACAGAGAGAAAGAAACGATGCGAGAGACACTCATCGATTGGTTGCCTCCCTCACATGCCCCAGGGATCGAGCCTGCCCTTGACAGGAATCAAACCCGGGGCCCTTCAGTCCGAGGGCTGCCGCTCTAAGCCAGTGGTTCTCAACCTTCCTAATGCCGAGACCCTTTAATACAGTTCCTCATGTT